GGGCGGTTTTCGGAGTTGCGTGCACAGCTTGTCTAATCTATGAGAGGGACGCAAATGTGAGTAACCAGTACTTATTTTGCTGGTTACCCTAGGACTTTTTTGGCATTCATTAATTAACCGACCAACCTTGAAAGGATTGCGCGAAATCTTTCGTGCGGGGATAAGCGTCTCGTTAAGGAGCGAGTCGTCGGTTTGTTGACTGTTACTAGGCATCTGATAATCGACCTTAGTCTCTTCTTCTTCTTCATCAAATTCGGATTCGAACAATGCCGGTGCCGCTATCTCACCATTTTCCACCGAGATCTGAATTCATATAATAATATCGTTCCACCGCCATACTTTTTCAAAAGGGGCCGAACAAACCGGATGCTGTTGAACCACACCACTCTTCCTCTTGATTGAGATTCGTCGGGGAGTTGGACTTTGTTCAGAGGGAGCATGGTAGGAATCAGAAAACACTGACTCATTCAATGATACGTTCTCACGTCCTTTAGCGGCTACCTGAATGAGGATCAATGTTCGAAATTGTCTCATATTTCAGAATCGAGGCGAGGAACAAAAGGACAGATTTTTCTTCTGTCAACAAACCTTATCAGCGAGAGTGGATTTTTTAAGTTTTGCAGCATAGTTGCACATCATTTGTATGCCTTTCGCAGAGGTGACCAGACTAGCCAACTCAGCAGCTCGCCCATCTCTTTCACTTTTGCATGCCAAAGCAAACAGTTTTATGAGAGACTGAAGATGACTCGAAGCCAGTTCCTACAAAAACAAAGCATATTCAAAAAAATAAGAACGTCTAGCTCAGAGCGTTTATTGCGGAGAATATTCGTTCTTTGAAATTCAAGAAATCAAGCGCTCTTTGATCTACAAACTTATTAACCTTCCCCAAATACTTATAGTGCCTAGTATATGTTTTTAGCTTATGCAGAGGTGTAGATAAGTCCGCATCTTTCGTGTCCCTGAGGAGAGGGGGGGGGAAAGCTACCGACCAGCAGGGGACAGTGCGAGATAAGTAGAGCAATGTCCGAGGTGGTGGAGTGAATGAGTACAACGCTTTAAATGAGCAAAAGCAAACCAAGCGCGGTACTAAAGGGAAGCTCAAAGTTCAGCTCCGGAGCGACTCAAAAACCCGCGGAAACCGAAGGTTATAAGTAGTGGCCCTTGGGAGAAGAGCAAGGTTATCTTCCCAAGATGAGCGTGCCGTGGACCTTGGTTAATTTCGTCACGATCTGATGTTTCGTTCTACAATATCTTGGAGGTAGTGTAGACACAAGAACTTTGTAAAGCGAGCAGAGTATAGCAGACATGAGTGGTGGTAGATCCATCTGATAGGGGTGTAGGGTCACGCTCGAAACCAGCTTGAATAGTCCCCAGAAATCAACAAGAGAGGGAGAAATCAAAAAAAAGCAAAACATTTGAGCTTCGAGAAGACAGAAACTTCACAAAGAAGAGTAGACAGCCGGACTCAACCCATTGTCGCAATTACTCTGAGTATTGATCATTCCAAGGATGTTAGACGCAATTATCCGCGGTGAAATCAGAAACACCCTTGTTGTCGTACGGGTCCCTATGGCTGATGATGGTGAATGTGATATAAATTTGGAGTTTCACTTTGACATTAACTTACGCCCTCATGGCAACAGAAAGAGTCAGGAAAATAGGCAACCATGATAGAAAAAAGGAGAAACCAAAGATATCAGAATGGTGGGGAAAGTTCTGTCACACTTTTTCCAACTCAAATACTTGCCCATTACATAAACACATAAAGAGGGATGAGCCAGTAAGAGTGCAGCACTGACAATATCATAGGAATAATCTTCTATTAGCTACCTGTCGCTAGCACTCGCTTGACTCCTGCTTCTTCTTCTTCTTCTTCTTCTGCAATATGGACAAGGATTTTCTCCGCTAGCATCGAGACCGATCTTCCAGGGCGCTAATGCTTCAGCGGAGCCTACAGTTTTGATGACGAAGTGAGGTTTGGGTTACCTGTGAACAGACTGAGGGAGCTGCGGGTCGTGAAAGTGCTGGATAAAGAAGCTGATTCCTCGGTCAATGCGTACGCAAAGCAGCTACGAGATCCGAAGAGAATCGTCGACCAGAGCGAAATATTTTTCCTCAGTGCCCGCATTCATCATGATAGTGTAGCGCACTCCCCTTAAAAAGTTTCGATCCGTACCTCATGCAATGGATGGCTCTCCCCTTGCAATGGTGTAGCTCAGATATTACTCCTTCTAACTGCAAGTTGCCTCTAGTACTCAATAGTTATGTGGACAAGAAAACTTCCATGACCCGAGTTCAAGTCAAGATTGAGATGGTGTCCCACTTTCCCGTGCATTGTAAAGCGATGGCATCCATGAGATGCTCGAAAAATGGGAAGAACCCCGCAGTAACATTGCTGTACACTTTTGATCTTACACACCTCTTTATAGAAAGAAAGCCTAATTTGAAAAATGTGACAGAACTTTCCCGCCAGCCTAATACGTAGAAAGACAACTGTAGCACTAGCTCGCAAATATGATCGGCTATCAATACGAGTTATAAAAGCGGCTGTACGAAGCCCATAATAGTCATTAATGAGAAGCAAAACTAACCACAAGATCAGATGATGTTCCAGTAGAGCGAGCTTCGCTTTGCTGCAGCTCGTTGAGGAAGAGCTCTTGCTCTAGTTTCGACTTGTCCGAGTCCTTAAAAAACAGAAATGATCACGAACTTTATTCAGTGTCAAACTCCTTCCACTCCTTCCACTCTCCTTCCATTTCCTTTGTTTTAGGTTAAGTGATCATGGACAGCAACATACGGCCACCACCGTTCCCGACACTTATACGCGAATGGAATTTTAAAAACTGGGCGCCCAATTAGGTGAAAAACTGATGTTTACTGGCTGCCACAATAATCTTGAGATTATGCCTCTCCAAGAAGCCTTCTACAAAAATCGAAAACGGTCTAAATCAATGAATGAACCCACCGGTGCGCAGTAGGGAAGCGCCCATGGAGCGATGAGTGGTGCCATTTTCACGGCAACTAGAGGATACCTGCTACCCTTGCAGTAAAGATACCTACAAATGGCCGTGTTTGAACACATCGTTGGAGGGGAAGCTACGAAAACTTTCTCACCTAATTTGACGCTGTCGTCCATCAACAATCGCGATTGGCCAAACAGCATCGGATTTGCTCGTAGTTTCCGCGCTTCCATCGAATATTGGAACCCAGAAACCAGACGGCGTCAGGAGGTTTACCATATCTTAAATGCGCAGTTTATCTTGACCACTGCAATCTCACACCGAGGAGTACAGGAGAAACTGACGCACCCATAGGTATTACTGAATTGGGAGTCACATTGCCGATAATTGCCAGAAAAGCCATAAGAAGAAGCAATTAACTGGCCACAGACATTTTCAGTGAACGCATCGCTATGCTTGGCCTAAGAAATAGCGCTTTTTCACCCTGACTCACCCCGATCGTCCTTTCTCCTGACTTTCTGACGTGCCGAAAGGAAACCTGCGGGCGGGTGAGAAGCGCGGGGGGATGTTGGCACTATTTGCTACTTTCTCGATCGCTGCCAGACGGCACAAGAGTTCACAGGTTCGTCAAAGTTCAACCGGGACTTGTTATCCGGAACTAGTGAAGCAGCGAAAGTTCAGAATACCCCAGTAGCCGATCTGCGTCGAAATCTAACTTTGAGCTGAGGCTAAAAAAAGCTATCCTTGTCAAAAAGATAATAGTTCCTGGCATCCAATCACCGGCAACGGGGAAACTCCCTGAAAGAATGAGGCAGACTTGGCAACAGACACTGTTCGGCGCTGTGCCCAGCTTTACAAGACTTTACAGGTCTCCACCGCAAGTAACGGCAAGTACCAGTGGGGACCAGCAAAACCCCCTACCAAACCGAAAAGCACAGAGAACGTGGGAAAATATATAGTGTTGATAGATCTAATCCTGAAAGGAAACTGACAGCTTAAATTGAAGTACCTAACGTACCACGAATGAAAAAAGAGCAGCAGAGCAAACTAACATGAACTGTCCATAGACGCAAGCTGTCCATGACTTAGTGTATCCGAGCCAGCATAGGTGCTCCTTTTTGGCGACAGGCAAATCCACATGAGTGACCCCTGTGCCAACGTTACGGTGCCATTGCTTATTGTCCACATTTATTACACAGTAAACAGTGCTGCTAACATACAATTTAACTACAAACCGAATCAACTGGCTTTTTAAGCGCACCACTTGGTAATTTGGGCGTTGACTTTTCTTTTCCTTCTCGTAATAATCGCCTCCTGATATGGAACAAATGGCGATCCGACTGGCAAAGCAGGTCGTCGTCAGAATCGGACCCAAACCTAACGCAGATCATTTCAATCGCCTTACTCAAGGAGTAAGAAATTAACCCAAAAGACAAAAGAAAGAAAGCCAAATAAAAGTAAAGGGATCTCATCAAGGCCAAATTCGTACTTTGCGAATCTGGAGAAATATGGCGAACTTAAGTGATTAAGGCAGCATTACAGACTGCGCGATAAGCGCGCAGGCGCTATCACTTTGCCAAGGCCACCACAGTAGCTAGTCGGTGCGAACGCAGCCCAAGACGGGAATCGGTCGGCGCTAGCCGCTTGCGTTTCGAGATGTATAGGGTGACATTAGAGTTGCCTTCACGAAATCTAGTACCCTTCTACTCCTCCATACTCTCCCCAAGTAATAGCGTAAAGTGCCGATCAAAACCATACTGCGTAGGCAACGCGCATCATCCTATTCCCCCGTATTACGCAATGACGTCACGTACGTTACAGCGGGCCGACGCGTGTCCTAGCGAGGTCTGAACTTTGCCTCCATAACGTGACACAATGCGCGCAAAAGAACCCATAAATATCGATCTGGAGAATCGGCAAAATCGGAGGTAACATGACTCGGAAAAAGGTGCGCCAAATCGAAAGCCGACCCCGCCCACCACAGAATCCTGCACTGTTCTCATTGCGAATTCTCCACGTTCCCAAAGCATGAACGTCGCCCGAAAATGCTGAAAACACATACTTGGATGAGTGATAACATGGCGTTGTATGCCGGTCAAGGTGAAAACTCTCAGATGCCGCCTTGATGTAACTACACAAATCAGTTCTCGTGATACCTGAAAAAAACGAAGCTCACTACGGTTGGCAATACAGCGCCAACCATTTCGCAGAAATAGTCACGTACGAACCAGAACGTCCAACGCATTCTCTTTCGAGGGAAGTCTGGTGCTCCATCGCTTTGACTCACTATCCCAGGACGCAATATGAATCACAAGCAATTCACTGGAAGGGAAGCATCAAAAAATGTTTTTCGTGAAATCTGCGAGCTTCCTACAAAGAAACGGCTACCTAAGTTCACCCTTTTCTTCAGCCTTGCTTGCCAACGCAACGGCTTGATCAGAAAGATCCGCTAGCACATAATTTGTTACTCCATTGTCCAGGACAATTGTAGGGTGGATTGTAGCGTCATGAAATGTTATCTAAAAGGAAGTTAAGATGAGCTACGGTGGACGAGGACTGAACGAACATATCTAACATAATAAAACTAATGGACAGAATATAAAGAGCGTATGAAAGTTACCTCTATGCTGCTCCCCTCCTCTCCAGAATAAGTCCGCACAATTCCGTAGGCATTCCATTTCTATAACAAGGAAAATCTCAAAACTCTAAATAACAAAACTATCAAGCAAACATGGAGAGACCGATCTGCAGTAGAATACAAAAACAACGAACCAAGTAGCGCTGGCTGAGGTGATCAGGAGATGCCCCTGACACGAAGAAAGAGGGAATCGTCGGAGGTTCATAGGAAATGACTTGAGGAGGTGGGGCAACAGGAGCAAGGCTAAACGAACATCAGATGGTGCAGCGTAGCGAAATATTCATAATACAATCTGCTAATGGATGAAACTATTTCTCTGATGGAACTAGGCCTTTTTGATCGTGCTATGATTACAAATATTCAACACATTAGGAAAAATGATGAAAGCTCACTTTGCGGGATCGTGGGCTGTAGGAAAGTGGCCCTTACTCGGAGCCTCCTCTGAAACCGTAAATCCATAATCCTCAAGATTTCCTGACGCATCGTCGCCAAATCCATATTTCCTCTTTATAGCCCCAATATCCACAGACACTGGAATACTCGAATTGCAGTGAAGACACCTGATTACTAGTTCACGGAGTGAAGAGAAGGGAATGTCACACTCTTAGTATCGCCATCGTCTTCAGCTTCATTATCAATGAACCCTCCTGTTCCAGATTTACTTGCATCGTCGTCTTCGTCCTGAATTCAACAAGTATAAAAGCAGCGATTTTGAAAGGGACTGGAAAATGTATTATCAACCTCAAAGTCGTCATTTTCTGCCGTTTCAATGGGCTTACTCGGAGACGCATTAACATGAGTAGATGGAGGAATAGCATTCTTCAACATACAGAGTCCCTCCTAAAAATGAAACCGATATTCAAATACGGACCACTGAAGCGAACGTGTTCATGTTACCAAAGTTTAGAAATCAAAATCCCTCCCCCCTATATTACAAGTTTTCGAGAAATTTGATTTGATTCTCCTTGCATTTTCTCGCCTTCACAAGGTTTTTCATTCATAAGCCTGTTGCAAAAGTTTGCAACCCAGGGTCAATGGAAATATCATTACTTACTAACCCACCAAGCCCATTAGTGAAAGTACGTGTCAACAGGACAAATAACTTCAGGACATCTCTTCATCGACAGGTCATCATCACTTTGTGCTGATAAAGGTAGGGTCGAGGTACAGTCTCGTTCGCTGTGGACGAAGGGACGTACCGGCGGTAAGGGTCCCGCGCGGGCCTGTTTTCCACTAGTTGTTGAGGCGAGCAAGCGACGCACTGTACCATTCTTCGTCGTTTTCCACCAACGGTTGTCGTTCACCTGCCTCAACAACTAGTGAAGAATGGGCTTAGCGACGCGCCATGCATATCCCATCCGACACGCCCCTTCATCAGCAGCGAACCAGACTGTAGTTCGAGTAGTCGATGTCGAAATGAAACCACTGACTACCAGAGACTATGGGAGAGCTGGAGGGTACAAAACAGTCTCTACACCACACGTCGATTGCGCGTCTCTGACGGCCACATAGTCTCTACAATACACATTTTGCGCGTCTCTGACGGCCACATAGTCTCTACAATACACATTTTGCGCGTCTCTTACGGCCCCATAGTCTCTACTCCTCTGCCGCTGCAAACGCCAGCAAAAACGCTGGCGAAACGCTAGATCGATGTGCATCCTCTCCCCGGCACTGCCGCTGGCGTACGCTGGAAGCGCTACGCTACGCTGCGCTACGCCACGCCCGCAAAGTATAAACGCAGCCTGACACGATGTCGCGCATGAATTGACAATGATTCAGAAGTCGCGCGATCCGACATCGTTCGATGCCTTAACCGGGTCAGCCAAATGTGAAATGCGGGTGGCTTCTGAATTCCTCGTTATGAAAGTCGGATGGAAATCGGGTATTTGACGGATCTCAAAACAATACCATCAAAGATGGCTTCTCGAACAGCTTCGTGAGGGCATTTGGTTCTTCACTGATCATTCAATATGGCAGTATTTGTACGAAATTTAGCAGGGCAATGAAATGCGGAAGTTCTGAACAAAAACTGACCCCTTCGGCTCTGATACATGCAAATCGCGACTCAACTGAAACCGGTAACAATGTCTGATGTTGGAGATGGAGGATAAAAAGGATAAAGTCTTCGCCGTTAATCAATCCCTTTGTGGGATGCGGCACGCATTCTACTTCCATTCAGAATCGTAGTGGCTTATTGAATGCGATGTGGCCTATACAATGACTTGCCAGCCGATGTACAAGTCAGTGTTTTATCCTCCCAGACGAATCTGGTACCAATTTACCGTCCCCGGAGGGTAGAAGGCTTGGCCTGGGCGGGTGACCTGGGATTCGAACCCAGGACCGCGCGAGTGGTAAGCGCGCCGCGTCACTACACCACCTCCGCCTCATGTTGGAGATAGGAGGCAAGTTAGATCGTGTCAGCAGATTTGCGAAAATATCTTGCCAAATATACCGCAAGAGGAACAGTTTTCATGGCTGAGCTCAAATACAGCGAATCGATTCAAAACAAATGCGCTTACTCCACACACCTCTATGTCAACCAGAATGATGTCTCTTTCACTGAAAGGACAAAACTTTGTGCTTGATATGATCGCCCTTTCACCTCTTTTGTTATACACGGACTGTGACAAAACAGATCTGAAAGCATTTTTTTTACTTAAATGGAACAGCAATTAGACTAACACATTCCCGGTCAGGAAAAGCGAACATGGCAACGAGCATTCATCGAAATCAAGGTACGTATGAATAAATCACGGTGGTACCTGTCGAAAACATTCCAAATAACAATTTTGTTGGAGAGTGTAGAAGCACACAGATAACGGCCACATTTTGACAGACATGAAGTTGAGAAGACATCCTGGAAATGACCAGTTCAACCAGCGCTTATACCTCGTGCGTTACTTTAAGAAAGTATCAAACCGTGGATGTTCCTGGAGACTTCAAGCTATTGTTACTGCATTCCCAGCCATCTCTCATGACCACTTTGATACATCCTTGTGAGGGAACAAATAATTGCGAACCATCTTTGGACCATGTTAGCGTATGACGAGGATTTTCTGCTCTAAAAAATCGAAGGACAAGTTTGTTAATCTCAACGCATGGATGTCAGTAACACAATGTTTGAGTGTAACAATTGTACAATACAACAATACAATTCTTCCATAGGGCTGATGTAAACTCAAGACCATACCCAATGTCTCCAAATGGTGTGAACATGTGATCTAACGAACAAAGCTTCTGATTGCTTGCAATGTCAAAAACACTGACGGATCCATCACAGCATGCCACAGCATATACCTAAATAGAAAGACTCACAACGAACGTTGCTGGTTTCGTCTAATACTTACAATTTATCACCTCTACTTGTTTTTTCTTTGCCGGGAAATTCTTTTCAATTTGGACGGCAAAGTGGGGAGGTCAAGTCACAGGTGGACACGCTAGGCCCTGCCCTAGAAGTGGGAGATACGCCGGAAATGAGCGGTGTCGCAGACAACAATTCATAAATCGGTCCCATACCGGTCCAGATACGGGGGGGGGAGGAAGAAACGACAAGGATGGTGCTTCTCGTAAATTACACCTAGTCTTTGAGAGTTGTGAAGATTGGAGAAACCAGAGAAGAGGAAAACACCTGGCGGGACTTCAGGGAGCCTGCCATGTGTTGAGAACCACCCACGAAACGGGGGAAAC